TAGGTTTCAGAAACTGGAAAGATCCCCTTGTCATAAACCAAAAATACAGTAATTCAAACCATTAGGCATGTGTCTATAGGGACATCAAAAGGCTCAGCACTGCAAGAGAAGCAAGGAAGGAAGATCAGCAGAAGGGAGGTCTGGGGAGTACAAAACAGAAAGCATAAGTAGCTTTTTAATAGAACCAACATGGGGCAAAAGCACTTTCCAACAAAGTTAAAATGTGTATATATATACACTTAATCTTGGCATAGATCTATTTGCATGAGTTTTCTCATAACCGGACAGAATTTTCTCATTTGGAACACCATTATACTTGTCCTTAACAGCTCTCAGACTAAGCAAAGCTTGGTCTTCCTACACAAATTTCATCTGCTGTGTTAGTGGAAGTCATCCAGGTATCTTCTCATCTGTTCCTTCCATTCCAAATGTCCTTTCAAAGGATACAAGGGAAGCTGGTACTGCCCCCATAGTGAGGCCATCCAGCTTGTAGGAACACCTCCCTACTGCCTCAGTCTACCTTCTCACAGTGAGCAGACTATAGCAACCAAACTCAGCAGGTAACCCCTGTATAAATCAAACATTTGAGCTCAAGTTCAGCCTCATACTCTTCCCTCTACAGAGTGCTTTTTCATTACATGTTTGCACTTTCCTTCCATCAGACTGACAGAAGTCCAGCCTTATGTTTCTTCCAGATCCCACCTTAGAGCTCACCACCTCACCCAGCTGCCAGGAAGTGCCATTGCTACATATTAGTTCCATCCTGAGGTACTTAAAAAATTGACTTCACTTTTCTCAAGTCCTCTGTTTAAGCCCTATACTCACCCTTCTTTATCTTCCTCTCATAGCTCTACTTGCTTTGTGTAATTTCCTCCCTTGCTTTTGGTGTGGTTACCTTGTCATCCATCATCTCCTCCACCTGAAAAGGTAAGCATTGATGGCACCTGAGCCTTGACCCTCTTAAAGGGCCTTAACAGCAAGACAATCATAGTACTTTCACCCCATACTTTTGGTGACACAGAAAGGTATTTCCATGTAGCCAAACCAAAAGAAAACATTGTGTCTTGCATTTTCCAGAAGAGGGATTGTACTACTGAAGAACTGGTCAATAGGCTATGACTTCGCTGGAAATCTGTGGCAAAACTGAGTGCATAACTTTGTTTGCAGATACATCCCCAACACTTGTAACCATAATTATAACTTTATTCTTGAGCCAACATTGCTTCCTCTTTTTTCAGCATTTCACAAACCTTAAGGTTCCTACTGTGTCTGGAATTTAGGAACAACAATGCTGTGAAAATACTTGGGTTAGTTTCACTTGATTTCTCAACAGCAATCTCATCCTGATTTGTTTACATCACGCAGCCTTGGCCCTCAAGGTTACCTATTTGAGAAGGTTAATGCTGCCCTGTTGAAAGAGATTAATGAAAAAAAACATGTGAACAGTAATCTTCTGTGGAGTGCTTACTGGGTACTGGCACTAACAGGCTGACAAACAACTTCGTTTTTCTCAAAAATAAATTACCCCCCAAAACTAATCTTTTTCTCCTCAATAAGAAAGCATTGCCATAATTCTGCAATTGCTCATAATCCTGCAATAAGGCAGGTCAGCAAGATTTACACAGCAGCTTTTCACATGTATCGAACTCCTATCAGAACACTGCAGGTTCACTCGTGCCCTTACATGTTGTGATGCCACTGAGACAGCTTCTCATATGCAAACTTTGTTGCATGTTTTCTACTTTAATGAATGGTGAGCACTTAGTACATAATAATATGCAAAGAAGCTCTTTTTTTTTTTTTTTTTTTTTTTTTTTTTTTTTCTAGTAAAACCTTGGTTGTTGTTGGCCAATGGAAATTAAGTTTTAAAGGAATCTGAGAGGCAGTCTTTTATACTATTGTCTTCAGCATGTTACTTTAGTATTGTTGCCTGTAGTCAGCAAGACTGGGGCACTGGTCATGAAGCCCAATCCAAATGCTGTTAAAGTCACTGGAAGGCCTTACTTTGGTGCCTTTTCCTTACCTGTGATGTTTGCATGTATCAGACAATACCGTGCCAAACACTTGGGACTTGCTTCATAGGAGCATCTTCTAAGGCAATAAAGCAGTCCCCTTGTCCTGCTCTCGTGGGACTGAATTTTCCTTCTAGGAAAGCTATGACAGGTATCTCTGCTCTACGTAAGTCAGAACTACTGAGCTCTGCAGATAGCACCTTGCAAAATTGGGCCTTAGTAGTAACAGTGAAACTGGTTGTTTTGACAGTGGCCCCAGGGAGCCATTGCTTATTACTTTCCAGTAGTGACCAGAATGTTCTCCCTGCTTTCCAAGTAGTGAAGATGTCCTGTTACTCTCTCTGCCCCATGGTGTTTGCAAGGAATAATTTTCAGTCAGAGCTGATTTGACACAGCACAGAATTTGTGTCCCTGTGAGGAAAGCTCTCATGCTTCAACATCAGGTCTATGACTAAATCATTCTCCCCTACCATCAATTAATTTAGTAATGATCAGTTACCAGTGTAATCTCCAAGCATAAGGCTTTCCTTTCCCTTCAATGCCTTTGACTCCTTTATGAAGAAGTTAGGAAAAGTCTGTTTAGCTAACATTGATTCAGCATGGGGACTGACTAGGACACTACTCTGTGTTTGCAGGCACTAGTTTTCTCTGAGCACCACGGAATACAATGTATTCACTCCACCACTACCCTTGCCTTTGGAAATCATTGCTAAGTCTGAAAAGGCAACAGTGACACTCCAAAATTCAGAAGTATCCACAAAGATGGAGAACGGATCTCCACTCCTTCATAGCTGAAGCTCATTGAGATCAGAACAGTAGTGAACCCCATCCAGAGCACCAAACAAGCCTGCAGTAGACTTACAGGCACACCACTGCTCATGTACAAAGCCATCAGGTGACAACTATTTCATAAATGGATATAGGGGAAGAAAGCTTAAAATGCTTTGATTTTGCATGTGGAAGAAACATTCACCATGCAGGTTTTAGCAAGTTCTGTACAATGTGTGTGAAATCTTCTAGTAGACCTGTCCCCTGACCTTCACCAGGAATATCTACAGGGTGGCTTTTGTAAAATACCCTGGTTTCTTGTGGCAGTGTAACAAATGCTGATTTTTCAATGCTTTCTCCAACAGTTGACCCAAAAGTCGTTTCTTCTCTACTGTTGAAAAATGTGCTTTTTGAAAAAATGAATCTGCTTTGAGAAAGAAAAGCCTTTCTCTGCGAGTTTCCATGAAAATGATAAACTTTCAGGAAGGAATTTAAAGGTGTTAGGTGACACCCAGTGAAGGATCAGGTCCATAACCTGAGGTTTAACAGGTCAGAGGGAGAAGGTAGAGAAAAATAGAAGAGAAAAAGACCTTTATCTAGACATAGCTGTAGTCATACCATCCCAGCAGCCAGCAGCTGGCACCACAGATTTCAGTCTCATCCCACACACAAAACTCATGGAACAGCTCAGAGGCACTGAAAAAAACTCCTTTGTGCATGGGATAAAAGCCCTGCTGAGTGGTGCAACAGGGCAGTTCCTTCCTGTGAAAACATCAGCTTGGCTCTTGCAGTAGCTAAGCAAGGCAATATTGCAGGGTGTGTAGGGGTCACCTGTTACAAAAAAAACAACCAGTTTTTCAGTGACCTGAAATGGAGAAACCAGAAAGGGAAGTTTACCTACCAAACCACAGCCATTACAAGTCTGACGTTGGACTAGAGCCAAGACAATTTTTGTTACTATCACAAATATCACTCGAGAGGTAAAGTAGATGAGAGGTACTAGCACTGTCATCTCCTGTAATTCTTTGTTACAGCTAGCACAGAAGGGAAGCAAGGATTAGTTGCTTAATCCTACCCATTTTGAGGCCTGAGGATCTAACTTTCAACTGCTCTCTCCCTTGGCTACTGTGAAGTAATGGGTACTTTCTCTCAGTACACCACAGGGAGACAAAACTATTTTTCCTACTTGGATTTCACCCATCTCTCCTCTCAGTACTTGCTATGCTTTGTCCAATGACTCATAACCTACATAGCTGTATCCCCACCAAAACAATTACGTTAGAAAAGCTTCACAGCATAGACTGCTCCACAACACCTTTTTGACACTACCTGTAGAGACCTGGCATAGCAATATGTGCTGTATGTATTCTACCTACTTACAGTGACAGCCAATGACAGCTGTAGAAGTCAGGGCAAGTTGCCTGCCAGAAGCATCTCCTAGAAGACACTTCATGAAAGCAAAATTTGCAGTCCTCCCAAGCTGATGCGTTCTTCTGGGCACACCAGAGTGATTAGTTTGTTCTCAAAAAATGCTGTTTTCCTCATAGTTTATTTTTGTTTAGATCAAGGTGATTCATGTCCCCTGTGTCACAATAGCTCCACTACCCCAGTAACAACCACTCAGTATGAAGAGCAGCTTTGCAGCGTTCTTTGTCCCATGAAGAACAAGATGAAGTTTTGTGGGTTTTTTTTGTTACAGATTGTATGTTAAGCATATGGATGTAATGCAAAATCCAAGCATAGTCAAGCATTTGTGTTGTCTCTAGATCTTGGACAACTGCCTCAGCAACACTGGTGCTTTTAGATATTTATGAAAACTAATTACTGTAACTAGCCCTGAAATTATGTTTCTGGACTAATTCAGACCTTCTGTCCATTGTTTCACCTGTTTTGGTCTTGATTAAACAGATCCTGATAAACAGTGTCCTTTCATTGCTAAATAGATGGGACTCTCCTGAGAAACCAGAATAGAAAAATATTATGGAGAAGGTGAACTTAAGTCAACATCAGGTGGATTCAACTTCCACATACTGTTTTAGAAACAGCAGTGTCAAAACAAGCATTCAAGTTCACACAAGCTTAGCCATTTCCTAAGTACCATGTGCCATGGCTTGTCATAAAATTCACATACCTGTTTCAGACAGAGACAAAAAGCTTTGAGTGCTATTTTAAGAACACCTGTCTGAATCTAATAGCATTTGTCTATATATAAATAAACTCAAAAGACAATTTAAAACAAAGAATTTTAATAATTTCTCTAAACCAAATAATTAATCAAACAGGCCAAATCCCATGTCATCATCTGATTCTTCAGATTCCTCCTTCTTCTCTTCTTTCTTCTCCTCAGCTGAAAGAAAAAAGATACCAAGCCTTTGGTCAGTATTTACATGTTTCGTACCACAGATCTTCAAGATGCATGTTTTAGTGTTTTCAACTTCCATGGCTCATCTCATTCCCTTTCAATAGCAAATACAAACACCAAAGGGACACTGACACTGCTATTGAAGGGATGTGCTTTACACAGTGAAGCCTCTTTGATAATCAGTTCTAAGCCAGACCAATCCGAAGCTGGATAAACAAGAAATGCTTCTGATTGCCCAAAGGAAAAATAACTATTCAGTTTACACTTCAATCACATAGTAAACTGTGGAAAAGCCTTGAAATTCAGTCTCGATTGTTAAGATTTTAATAGAGCAAAGCAGAGATGTCCTGTAACAATGCCTCTCTACCCATACTCACCGGCAGCAGGGGCAGCAGCTGCAGCAGGAGCAGCAGAGCCCCCTCCAGCAGAGACTGTCACAGCTCCCCCAGCTGGCATGCTGGCAAGTTTTCCATTACCTAAGTAGGACAGAAGAGAAAGTATTTAAATACCAAGCACAGAGGTACGGTGAAAAGGAACAGAAATTAGAAGTGCAGAAAAAGACACTATGTCGCAAGGGCTGAACCCAAAACTATTAGCTGAAAGAAAGAGGCTGCACACATTATAAGAAAGTATAAACTAATCTTTGAAAAATACCTCAAGTTTAAGATTCACAAAGGCTTACCCAGAGAGCACTGACAGGACACATTATTGGTAAGTTTTCTTCTGTACATAAAGTTCACTATTTTTTTTCTGAAACAGTCACATAAAAATAGTGGCAAGCACATCCAATTTTATACATACAGAAAAACTGCATGTTTTTCTGCATACAGCACAATAGCCCAGAAACGGATAATCTCGATATACCTCAAAAATAACATATAGACAGCATTAGTCCCCCTCTCTTTTTTTTTGTTTTTTTTTTTTACAGTATAGAGAACTGTGAGGGTATGACTGGATCACACTTAGGAGAGAAGGGGGTGGAGGAGGATGTATTTATGCCAAAGAGTACAGTATTTAAACAAATTCTCCAGCAGCCTGTGAACCCTATTGCATCTCCTTTGAGATTAGCAAACTGCTGATTTATGCTTCTTTGGAAAGCTACATAGTTCTCTGGCATCTGCCTTTCACATACCAAGGCTCCCTTGGCATTCAGAGGTCACGTACATGGTATACTTGCCTGTATTCCAATTTCTGGGAATCAGTTTCTAAATAATTCCCTGTTACTTCAAGCTCTAATAAGCTAGCCAAGTAAACAAACATGTTTCATATGCATGTTAGGAAACAATTTATTTGAAGTATTACAGAAAGAGGTATTTTAAGTGTGTTGTAAGCACATGCACAATGGCTCTCTTAGGTCTTCAGACCACACATAGAAATGTCCAGTTACTGCTTGTAACAGCAAGGCCAAGTAAAAGTGCTGGCAACCTTTGAGCAAATATATACCTAAAAGTTCTCTTGTGCCTACATGCCTGCAAAAAATATATAAATTAGTTAATCAGAAACCTTTGCACTACCTCAGCTCTGCTTTATTTCAGGCCTATGACCCAGTCAATTAATGTTAAAAGTTCCAACTTTGTTAAGAGCCAGCAGGTCCAACAGCTCAAGGTTCTACAGAAGTGAGCACTCAAGAGTCCCACCTTAGAGAAAAGGAACTGCCAAACTTGGGGACCTCCAGAAGAGATGTGTACTGGAAAATCTTGTATTATCGCAGAGGATGTAACTATACTGTGAACTAACACTTACTTATATTTAACAGTCTGTTCTTCCTGTTACACAGTGCATACGAGTGGGTAAACACAAAGGAAAAAAAAAAATCTCCCAGAGAACATGAAGGACAGCTAGTTATTTCTCTGATCAACATGTCCAGAAAACTACTATCATGAGCAGACTACCAGTAAGCTCATCTATGCTTAAGTTTTCCAGTTTAATGTGGTCCACAAGCGAAACCCAGCAGGTACTGCCACCAACTTGCAGGGAATTAGAATGGACCTGGATATCAGTCATTTCAGCAGGGATCCATCATAGAAATTCTCAGGGAGTTGGCAGCAATTCTATGCTCTCAAGTCTAAGCTATCAGAGTAGTAGAGGCAATTAACTGTGACACCCAAGAGACTGTGCTTACCCTGTGCAATGACATCCTCGATGTTTTTTCCATTCAGCTCACTAATAACCTATGTGAATTAAGTTTAGAATGTTAATAGTTTTGAAACAGCATGAGTATAAGCTACATTTAAACAAGTACTGATGAATCAGCAGGTGTGATACCTCCATTCAGCTGCTTATAGTCCTAACATTCCATATTTCTCAATGGAAGGAACAGGATATTAAAATGAAAACTTCAGCTAAATCTTTAATAATTTTCTGTGAAAGCTTCTTCAGAAAATCTGATACAATACATGCATAATGAATACAAGGACCTTGCAGAAAAGGATACACAGATGTTGTAGAGCCAATTAGGAAACTCTACTAACAGTATGTTAGTCACTGAAGGACATATCTTGCTTAATACCCGCTGGGATGCTCAGAAGCACTGGGGCCTAGACCCAAACCGACAGGGTCCTCTTCCTAGCATTACCAAATGTTACAGTCAAGCTGGCTTTTGCATCCTTGCACTGAACCAGAGTCCCAATTTCAGTTTTACTACCATTTTTATATAGCCAGGGACAAAGAAAGCAAAACAGAAGCAGAAAAATTGCTAAAGGAAGCAAGCTCTTGAGAAAGGAGAATACAGACCTTACTCATGAGTCCTCACTACCAGCAGTCAGAGCTGGACACTGCAATGTCACCAAAACCAAGGTACTTTAACCAAAACCTTTTAAGGAGACACTTCCTACTTACAGCATGTGATCTGTAAAATGCTGTGCCTGTGTGCTTGCTTCTCTGGAAGGAAGGAGTTTTAAGAGAATTCACTAGATTTATATTGGCATGATACAGCCAGTGCAAAGGTTTAATTAATCATAACCAAAACAAATTCCAGAGAAGCTTCCTGGATATTGTAGGATCAGAGAAAACAACTGATTTATGAAGGTATTAAACAAACCAAAGCCGAAAGACCTGGTGTTTAACGAGGAGCCCCATGATTTCAAACCAACAACCCATACCATAACAAAGATGCTGTCAGCTCAGTCAGCTTAACATTTGGTTGGGCCTATGGCAAAACACTGTCTCCAGCTGGGAAAGTAACTTTTTTCCTGCACCACTCTGAAAACAGGCCATAAATAAAAATACTGGGAAGGTGATAAGACCATTTATGTTTTGAATTTTTTTTGTTTCCATGGCCATTTATTTTGAAGTCCACAAGGCTGATAATTCTAATTAAGATACTCTGTTCTTAAAAAGCCCTGTTTTTTAACACAATATCAACATTGATTTCAGAAATCTCCCTATACATCATTATTGAATACCAGTACTGTCCATGTTGTGATTTGCTTACATTTCTTGATGAACAAATGCTTCTTGCAGTAGGACAATTATTTTACAGAGTATCAGTGTTTGTGTTGAGTCAATACGGACCAAACCCAAAATTAAACATTAAGTGCAAATTATAGGTTAGGTCATAATAGTTTCTTTTCAACACATACTTATCTGTAACTACCATCCCACTGACAAGTGAGAAGGAGGACAGGAGTAAAATAAGAAAGCCAGAGATCTAAAAAAATAGTTGTAAACATATCTCCAGATGCTTATCCAGTGTATTAGTAATTGCACACGTAATAACCAGCAAAGGTCTAAGCAAAATAAGACTAGATCAATGCACTGCAACTAGAGAAACACTGAAGCCCAGGAAACAGCTCCGATGTCTGATGCTGACTGGGACAGGCCCATCTGGAATTAAGAGGCAATGCCACCTTGTTCATTCGTTCATCATCCGTCTCAATCCCGACACTGTCGAGGATCTTTTTCAAGTCCTTTGATGTAGGAGACTCGTTGCCACCGAGGACTGCTAGCAGGTAAGCTGCGACGTAACGCATCCTGGAAAACAAGAAACTGGCTCTTCAGTGCTGACGATGTAGCTACGCGTCCGGAGGGAGTTTATACCTCGCTGGGGGAAGTAAACCTCACCCTCCCAGCTACAACTGTTTTGCTGTAGTCTTACGTGGAAACCCACAACGCGCGAGGCCGCGCACCGATCTCCCGCCAGCAGGGGGTCCAGAGCTCCGGTGACACCCCGCGAGGCCACGGCGGCTCCTGCCCCGCGGCGCTGAAGGCCCAAGACGCCGGCCCGGCCTAACTGTGCCAGCACCACACACCTCTCCCCAAAACAGGCGGCACCGCGGCCTCCCAAACACTCCTCGTGTCC